TTTGGTTGCACTCTGTTCATCCTCCATTTAGTTTCTTTTATTGATTGGGAAGGTGAAAAAATTATGTTAATTCCATTGCATATTTGAGTATAATATTGCTGATGTAGACAACTGAAAAGTGCCCTATTGTTTACATTGTTATTATTAACAGCATGTATTTTGATATGTTGGTGTCTCAAATTTTGTTATTTAAAAATCTGTAATGAATGTACCAATATATACACTGCTCAGAAAAATTAAAGGTACACTTTTTAATCATATTATAGCATCAAGTCAATTAAACTCCTGGGATATTGATCTGGTCAATTAAGTAGCAGAGGGGGTTGTTAATCAGTTTCAGCTGCTTTGGTGTTAATGAAATTAACAATAGGTGCACTAGATGGGCAACAATGAAACAACCCCAAAAACAGGAATGGTTTTACAGGTAGAGGTCACTAACATTTTTTCCCTACTCATCTATTTTGACTGTTTTTCACTAGTTTTGCATTTGGCTAGGGTCAGTGTCACTACTGGTAGCATGAGGCGATGCTTGGACCCTACAGAGGCTGCGCAGGCAGTCCAACTCATCCAGGATGGCACATCAATATGTGCCATTGCCAGAAGGTTTGCTGTGTCTCCCAACACAGTCTCAAGAGCATGGAGGAGATTCCAGGAGACAGGCTGTTACTCTAGGAGAACTGGACAGGGCCGTAGAAGGTCCTTAACCCATCAGTAGGACTAGTATCTGCTCCTTTGTGCAAGGAGGAAGAGGATGAGCACTGCCAGAGCCCTACAAAATGACCTCTGGTGTAAATGTCTCTGACCAAACAATCAGAAACAGACTTCATGAGGGTGGCCTGAGGGCCCAACGGCCCTGAATGCACTGGCCCGATACCATAGAGCTCCATTGGCGTTTGCCATTGAATACCACTGGCACCCTCTGCTTTTCACAGATGAGAGCAGGTTCACCCTGAGCACATGTGACAAACAGAAAAGGCTCTGGAAAAGCCATGGAGAACGTTATGTTGCCTGTGACATTGTTCAGCATGACCGTTTCGGTGGTGGGTCAGTGATGGACTGGAGAGGCATATCCATGGAGGGACGCACAGACCTCTACAGACTAGACAATGGCACCTTGGCTTCTATTAGGAATTATAACTGCAGGATCTAGCAGCCATTTTGGCCTCTCAGAGGGATCCAGTACATGCCCCAGAATAGGGGTGATAGGGGTAGTGAAACCAGCAATGCTATGTGAGTGTTACTGTGTCAGGGGGTAATCTGTGAAGCTGATACATTCGAAAAAGTGTCTCTGATGACAGCCGTTCACCTCAATTAGACACAGGGCTCTCCTGAGGTTTGTGTCCCCACTGGAAAGATTTGCCACCATTTCCCATCCCAGTGTTTCCCCAAGGCATTGTTGTAGGATCTTCTTTTTTCCTCTTACTGGCTGTATTCATTGTATATTCCTATGGACAATCCACCAGGGAGACACTGACACAGGTCCGTGACTCCCTGGCATTTTGTGCAGGTGCATTGTGGAGTAAACACTGCCATATCTGGTAGAAAGGGATATTATTATTATTATACTTGATTTATATATTGCCAACAGTTTGCACAACTCTTTACAATCTAAAAGGAGACAGTGTAGTTACAATACAACAAAATACAAGAGGATTAAGAAGGCCCTGCTCATTAGAGCTTACAATCAAATAGGGTGGGGCAACAAAAGTACAAAAGGTGAACTATGGGGGATGAGCCAATGGAAGAGTTAAAAGATCAATTGTTAGTTGGAGGCGGGATAGGCTTTATTGAAGAGATGAGTTTTCAGGGAACGCCTAAATGTGGCCAGAGTAGGAGATAGCCGGACAGATTGAGGTAGAGGGTTCCAGAGAAGGGAAGAGGCTCTGAAGAAACCCTAGAAACAAGCATGGGAGGAGGAGACAAGAGAGCTAGAGAACAGGAGGTCTTGGGAGGAGAGAGAGGATGGTTTGGTCGATATTTGGAGACAAGATTGCTGATTTAGGTCGAGCTGTGAATGACTTTGTTGTGTGGTATAGCCACTTTTCACATTATTAATGGGCCCCATAGTGTTCACATTGCTGTGATTCATGTATGGTTTTCCTGGTTCCTTCTACTGAACTGGATGAATGACTTGCAGGAAACAAATTGTGGCCAGTTAGAGATCTGTGTGAGATGGAATGGACATGGAGTAGACCTTATAGCAAGGTAGAGCAGATAAAAGTAAATTGCATACAGTTGGATTAACACAGGTGGTCATTGGAAGCTATGACTTAGCTTTAAGTGGTATTAAACCCGAAAGCAAACATTTATTATATTGCTGTTTAACAATTCTTAGATGTGATGGCTGCACTCATTTTCCTTTTTTTAAGCTTTCTTTATTTTATTTTCACCTAGTGATCCAGTCAGTCTATAATTTTTTAACAGAACAAGCTGTCCTGCAGATGTAGTGGTTAGAGGGTTGAGACCAGGAGCAGACTGACAACTCATGGTGCCCCCGGGCAATAGGGGATCATGGGGCCCCTGTGTCCTTGCCCAAACGCAAAAAAGCCTATGAAAAAGGTACCAGGGGCATCTCATGGGGCCCCCTACTGACCCCGGGCCCTCGGGCAGTGCCCGAGTTTCCAAATGGTCAGTCCGCCCCTGGTTGAGACAAAGCATTTATCGCTTATATGGGGTGCTTACAACGGTCAACTTTTATTTGTTTATGTAAAACTTTATCCCTAAAAAGGAACAAAAATCTTACTGTAACTGCTTAAAAAATGTTAGCTGCAGTTTGGCTTCAATTTTTTAACACTAACACTCCCTTCTCCCCCTAGACTGACAATTCTGCTGTCCAAAAGTGCCCCCTGTGCTCTTTCATCCTGAGTGGGGACACTGTAGTACAGGAGGTGTGTTACTGTCCAGGTAACCAGGTGAAAACAGAGGGGGAAAAAAGCCTAAAAAGGGGAAACTAGCACAGCCACCACATCTAATGGTCGGTAGGCTGAAATATATAAAATTTTTGGTTTTGGGTTTAATTGCACTTTAAGGTCGTCAGTGAACCATATACCTTTCAGAAGTATTTTTCTACAGATATAAACTTCACTGTTGTTGGCTATTGTGAACATTTTGAGTCTATTTAAAACCCAACTCAAGCTAAACTTAGGGAACTTGTATGCAGATTTGAAGTTGGCTTCAAGTCAGTTCTCTGCCCTCCACTGCCCCACATCCCACAACGCCTCATTAGGGATTGCTGAGGCGTGCACATTGCATTCTTCTGTCAGTCCCTTTCACACATAAGGCCCATTGTCTTTGGTTTTTCCATATCCCAGCAAAGAAACAAGGGACGGTTATTATAATTCTTAATTTTATTACAGGTTCATTTATTTCACTTAAGTGATTACAAACGTATTTCTGACAAATATATATTATTTTCAAAATAATACAAAAAAGATAAATATTACATATATAAAATTTGTCTGGTAAATAAATAGGACATAAATAGATACGTATATGTGTTAGCAGTAAACGCTTTGGATTACAACAATCAAGGTATTAATTACTACCAGATTCTTTATTTTTTTTTCTTTTATGACATTTTCGCATAATCCACTTGATTTTAACTCCTTGACTGCCAGGCTGCATGATGCAGTCACTCATTGAGGTAAGAAGGCACGTTGTAGGGAAGTACTTAATGCATTGCAAGGTGTCATAATACAAATATCAAAAATTAACTAAAAAAAAAAAAAATGAACTAAAAAAAAAAATATATAACTGAATAAAGCAGAATGTGATTTAACTGTACTGTGCAAAATGGGAATGAAGCAGCCAATCAGACATTTACAAATTTATTGAAGCAAAGTGCAATACCCTGAACAGGTATTGAAATTTGATTGGTTGATATGCATTATTGCGCGTTTCTATGAATTGGTGCACTTTGTGCGCCAATGTCATAGTTGCAAATGACAGCAATTTGTAGCCGATTGGTCCCGTTTACAACACATTTCTATGTTAAAGTTCTGAAACAATGCTTAATCTTACTTATTAACTGTGTATCAAGCCAAAACCATTTAACACAATGAATCAAACATAGCTTGATGTCTTCCAGCGACATGCAAGGTCAACAAAAAGTATACTTATAAATAGTTATAAAAATCTCTATAGCCTTAATAAAAAATCATATATAACAACTGACCAATACACAGGTAATAAATATATAACTTTGTTTCAGAAGATTGTGACTTAAAAAAAATTGCTGGTATGAAAAGGAGCTGTAGCTTTCCCATGTGCATTTTGAATGTCAGGCAACTTGGAGGTCTGCTACAGGGCCCAGCACCACATTGGTAAACAAGCCAACAAGTGTATGAATCAACATTATACACATTGTAGTGTATATAACCTAAGTAGTAGTGTATCTGTAGCCTACAGAATGATATTGTGGTGTTGTATTATAACACTGCAATGCATTGCAGAACCTACAAAAACATGAATATTTAAAAGTTATTGCAGGAGTTCACAGGGGTATAAATTGGGGGTTTTCACAACCAGAATACTGGTCCACGCTGGTCCCATTCTCACAAGTTTAGGTCCAGCCCAAACTATGGGCTTGAGACGAGGGGCAGTAAACATGCTAAATACCTTGCTCTGCTACATGATTCGGGGCCTCTTGTTCAATAACACAGTAGAGGGAAGCCCTTACACAATATAATGGACCTGTTAGCTATGGAACCTTGCAGGTGCCCATATCTGAATAGTTTAACAAAAGATAAGGGTAGGGGTAATTTGTGCAAAAGATAATGGTCTTTGAAGCTACTGTGTAGCCTTCAAGTGAGACCACTTAGTCCTGAGAATCTGTATAAAGGCACTTGGAAAAGAGTCTTGAGATTGTTCTTTCCTCTAGAGGTGGAGGAACTTCACAGAATGCCTTGCTTCTTATTAGAAACTCAACTGCTGTGCTGGTCTGATCACCAGATTGAAATAACAAAGATTGATCGAAGCTTTTTTTCCCATGATTTTCATACTCAATCAGAGACGGACAGCCTGTGGAAGATTGGCAATCTCTTGGTGGAAGTCACTTGACTTGACACTTCGAAGACGGGAGACTCTGACCCACTGCTATAGCACTCATTCTCAGTAAGAGAACTGGAGGAAGGTGTGCGGAAAAGTACAGGGTTTCCGAAGGGATCTTGAGGAAGGGTTCCAGCTCTTGAGCACCGACATGAGCAACAGCGAGAGCATGAGTCCACTCCTTTGAGGGTGGAAACATGGCTTCTGGTCTCAAGAGGAGCAGGAGAGAAAAGCATGTCTGTTGAGGGTGGTGGAGATACTGAAGGAGCTCTGGAGAATGAAGAAGGATCTGGGAAGCCTGGTGGTGGAGGTGACCCTCTTCGCATTGGTACACCTGTATAGCTGAGGCTCTGGCGCAGAACTTGCTGGTGGGAAGCTCCTTGTTCAGCTGGGTGGTGGATGAAGTTGCAGCGAGACCCATATGGACACTCTCCGTACAAGTAGAACTTGTGGCAATACTCTGTCTTGTATTTTGGGTGACGGTTTGGTTCTCTTAGCTCCTGCTGTCCATGAGCAAACTGGCATTTGGAGCCGTACTTGCAGGTCCCCGTTTCAGAAAAGGTGCGACATAACTCCGTCTTGTAACGAGGTGAAGGAGCAGGGAGAGCAGGCAGGGGTGCCTTCAGTGGTGGGAACCCCGGAGGTGGAGGTAGTGCAGTCCGGGGTCCTTCTGTAAGGCTAACTGACCGATCTGCTCTAAAGGGAGCACGAGGTGGTTCAAAATTCCAAGGATCTCGAGAAAACCCAACGAGTTTCATCACACAGTTCAGGGGCACAAGAGTGTCTCCTCTGAGGACTGGAGAAGCTGTGGTCATTGGCAGTATCAAAGTCTTCTGAGAGGCTTAAATTTCGTAGGTTCTGTAGATCAAACAAGATATCAGATTTAGAGCAAGGCCTAAACATGTCAGCATAAAAAACACTATCCAAAATTTTGAAAAATAGGAACATAACAACTTTGTATACATTGTTACTTAGAACGTTTAGAAGTGAAAGGCCTTTGTTACACCAAGTTCTGGAGTCAAAGGTCACATATAGAAGAACCAGCAACTTCCTCCATAGGAAGAACAGATGGCTGTGTTCAAATATAAAGCATGCATCTGTGCTAAGGCGGAAATGGTTATGTTTGGGTTGAAAATATGAAAACACTTAAGATATCAGATAGCCACAATTGGGTGGGAACTCAAAAACAGGAAGCCACAAGATCAGAGGCTTTTTATATGTTTTACGAAGCCAAAAAGTGCCTCTGAATGTTTTCTCGCTAACTATAACAGACATACTGGATCAAGAATGGAGCAGTAACCAAATTTCATCATTCTGAAAAAAAAAAAGAATTTGGTAGTTTCTGGCAACTGCTCCAGCTGTGCTCTAAGTTTTGACAAAATAGACAAACAAGAGCAAAAGTAGATTGGATGCTCATATCAACCAATTAGGATTCATCTTTCAAATTAAGGCAGAGGTTTGATCACTATGGGTTATTGATCAAGTATTAGTGAAGCAGGCTCCACAGTGTAAGATTTTACAACACAGGCACAAAGGAAAATAGGACTGTCGACTCATTTAGGTGTTTGTTTTTATCTCCTTGAAAAAAGCATGGAATTTGCCTGCTATGGGCAACACAAATTGTATTTAATCTAGCTTTCTCTTATCAGGTTTACTATCAATATATAGAACACACCAAGACTGGACAGAAAGAAAGGAGCTGGAAATGAGTATAGTAGAGGGTTATTTAAAAATACAAGGCCTGGGTGGAAGCTTGAAAAAAAAAAAAAAAAAAACAAGTGGCACAAAGACTGTGTAAGTTGCGTAAAGCCAGCCAGTCATTTAAGAGCAAACATTTGCAAGTAATGTGACCGGTTCAAGCATCTCTTGCGACATTCTGCACCATGAAGGGCAACTCCCAAGAGATAACAAGCAGTTGCTAGCATTGGAAGAGGTTTGTGATCCCTAAAAAAAGATTTTGCAATGGCTTGTAAAATATTGCAACTATTTTTTTCTGTAGGAAAGAAACAGAGCAATCTTGTTGCGTGGAAGATGCAGTCAAAAAAAAAAAGTTGTGGCAGATCATCTCTTACTCCTGAGATTCCTTTTGAGAAACTTGTTGGCCAAGAAAACCCAACAATCTGTTTGTACAACCTCAGAAAGATTGACCAGCAACTATTCAGCTCAAAAGCCAAGGAGATGGATTAGGTAGACCCATACGTTTGCTTGTATTTTGCAAAATCTAAAGGAGACTGTATAGAGATTGTACAATTAAAGTATAATGCGTATGTCCAGCTTTAGTAACAGTGATGACAAAAACTTTTGAAGATCCATAGTAACAGATAAAGGTACATGGCCTTTAGAAGGTACAGTGTGCAGATGTCAAGGACTGAGTGACGTGTAGGAACAGAGTGGTGTGTGTGTGGGGGGGGGGGGGGGGTGTCAGGAAGGTGCAGCAGGTTACAAAGATTAAGTGATACGTAGGTCTACGACATGATTGACAGCACGGTAGAAGATGTGAATGACAGATGGAACAAGAACAAAGGCAGTGATGTACGCAGTCTGGCAGGGAGCAGCGACATGCCACTGGAACTATGTTGTTTTGGTTTGGTTGGGCAATACAGATCTAAGCTTTAATGTCACCTGGCTGCGAATGCAAACAGTTGCCTGGTAACATACTGTAAGCCTTTAATACCAACGCAGAGAACAATGGGACACAAAATATCCCTAGCCTATTTTTTTGTAAAACGCAATTGTAAAACACTGAAGGGGTGCTGTGTACAGGGAATGGCCGATCAGCAGCTCTGGTAGATCTCAAAAGAGTTAAAGGTAAACATGGAACTATGTCTCATATTGTAGCTCATCTGTTGTCCTTCTGCTAAGCATCAGATTTACGTCTGCAGTGCAAAATGACAGCTGGAATTTGACAATTTGAATTTGATTAAGTGCTCTGAGTCTAGACAAGCACAGTTTATTTCAGGCAGCTTCATAAATGTGGAAAATTGCCTGATAAAAAAAAAAAATATATAGAGCTTACCTAAAACCCATGCCTGCCAAAATGTATTTTTGTCCCACCCTGCCCTAGTTGCTTATCTCCTTCCCCAGATGTACTTGTTTCTGTCTTCAAAGTTGACAGCCATCGCCACGTTCTAAGTTCAAACCAACCTAAGCTCCCCCTATCACTGACATGTTGGGGGTCACCTATATGCCCTCTCTACCTTCAGCTTTCCAAAAGTCTTCTAAATGTACAACATTATCTTTTTATCTCACATCCGGTATAAGGGGCCCACCCTGCCCATCTCCTTTGTCAGTGTTCAGCCCGGTGTTACCAGCTCTAGCACACAGCAGTAAAGTTCTGTTAAAAGTCTGAAAGTATCTTTCAAGTTTCTCGAACAAGCTGTACACACACATTTCTTAGCCTACAACAGAAGACATATTAGTGCCCTAAAGTTTGTAAAAACAAAAAAACAAAAACAAATTCTGCCCAACATGAATCACCCAAGCCTGTCTCACCTGATAAATAGTGCGAATATCCAGGATCGTGGACATATTGATCAGAACTAAGTGCCTGCTTCTCCACCCAGTAATTTCTTTGAGCAGTCAGTGCTGTTCTTCTGTGCTAGCTCCCTAGGCTTATATATTCCCCAAACCCCTCCCCTCTCATTGCTGTCATCTATGAGGTCATCCCTTCAGGGTGAAGTCCACAGAAAAGGAGGGGAGGGGTAGTGTTAGCTAATCTCTGTCAAGCTAGGAAAACAAGTCAGTCTCCAGCCAAGTGTAAGAAAGGGGAGGAGTAAATAAAAACTGATGGAGAAGAAAGAAGAAATCGAGAGGAAAATAGGAAAGAAAAAACTGAGAACGGAGAACAAGACAGAAACTGACAAGAGGAGGGATGGAAAAAGAAGGAAAGCGGTGAAATAAACTAAAGTGGTGGAGAGGAAGAGACTGGAGAGAAGGAAAACTAAGACAGAGTTGGGAAAGGGTAAAGAGGACAAGAGGGGGGAATAGTGGACAGGAGTAGAAAGAGGAGGAAGGGTGAAGAGGAGGAGAGGGACAAGAGTAGAGGGGAGGAGAGAGGAAAGAGATGGGGAGAGGAAAGGGAAAGGAGGATGAGAGAGAAGAGGGAGAAGGGTGGAGTGGAGAAAAAAAAGATAGGAGAGAAGAGGAAAGAGAAAAGAAGAGAAAAGAGGACAGATGAAGAGAAGTTAGTGGAAAGATGAGGAAAGAGAAGAAAGAAGAGGAAGGGAGAGAAGACATAAAGAAAGAAAAAAGTGAAGACAGGAGAGAAAAGTAAAAGTGAGCAGAAAGAGAGAACTAGCACAGAGAAGAGGAAAGGGTAAGGAGAACAAAGAAGAGCAGACAGAGGATGAGAGAAAAGTGGTAGAAGGGTGGAGTGGAGAAAGAAATTTAGGAGAGAGGAGCAAAGGGGAAAGAAGAGATGAGAGAACAGAGGAAGAGAGGATAGGGGAAAGAGGGAGGAGAGAGGAGAGAGGAGACAGAAGAGGAAAGAGAGGAGACAGAATGGAAGAAGAAGAGAACAGAGGAGAGAAAAGAAAAAGTAAGCAAAAAGAGAGAACTAGAATACAGAAGAGGAAATGGTAAGGAGAACACAGGAGAGCAGAAAGAGGAAGAGAGAGGAGAGGAAAGGGAGAGAGCAGGAAAGAGTAAAGTGAAGAGAGGAAAGAAAAAGTGAGGAGACAGAAGGTATGCTTAGGAGTGCTTAGGAGTAGAGAGAAAAGGGGAATAGGAGAGGAGCAGGCAAAAAGAGAAGCTTGGAAAGAAAGAGTGCAGAGGAGGAAAGGGGAAAGATGATGTAATACAAAAGGCCACAGAGGTCAACAGAAAAAGGGGGAGAGAAAGTGAGGAGTAAGAGGAGAAGGGTAAAGAGGAGATGAAAGGAGAGGAGGGGGGGAGGACAACAGAATTGAGGAAGGGAGAGAATAAAATGGAAAGCGCTAATAGGGAGAGAGAGGAGAGCAGGAATCAAGGAAATAGAAAGTAAGGAGAGAATGTGAGGAGAGAAAAGGAGAACTGAGTCACAAAACGTAAGGACAGGAGGGTGGTGGGAGGGAAATAAAAAAAGAAAAGAGGAACATTCACTGTGAAAGGAGAGGAAAAATTCTGAGAAGATAGCCAAAGCGGAAGAGAAGTCCAATCCCCCAGGACCACTTTGCAGAGGGACTTTCCAACTTTGTGGGTGAATAAGTTCCAAACAATTTGTACAGAATAGTTCTGAAAACATGTATGCTGTTTGAAAGAAGGAAACAATCTGAGAAGATTGTGTAGAAAAGACAGTCACCTTCCTGGATCTTTGCCACCCATACAACACAAAATAGGGAAAGGAAAAAGAGAAAGATATTAAGGAGAAAAGACAAAAACAGCAAGAGAGAAGCAGAGGAGAAAAAGAGGGCCTGTGGACAAAGAAAGAAACAGGCAGGCTGAAAAATATCTCCAGCTTTGGATATTCCCTTTGAAACCCCCATCAATTAAATCTAGACAAATTTGGTACTGGCTTGACAAAAGGACTCATAAACTTCCTAGTATTTTTTTTAAAAACTTAATTTATCTAAGTGGATATCAATCCATACCTATATGATTTGCATGGGCACTGGGACTGGCACTAGACAGGAGACCAAGATCTGGTGGATGTCCAATTGGCCCAGTTACAACCCGCCTGCAGTAAGCTAGGGGGATAGTGCAAGTAGTCAAAACTGTGCACCCGCCGTCCACTTCACATGGAAAGATGCACTTGTAGGCAGTTGGTATTTGATGCGGTCACTTTGCAAATGTGATAGCTTCTCTGTGCCTATTGCTGTCATTATCAGAGCTAGGGCTTCATTTTGCCCAATCCATTTCTTTGCTGACATAGGAGCACTATTGGTTTTGATCCTTCCACATAGAATAATTGGGAACTATTTGCAGGG